GATGCTGATGCTGCTGATGCTGCTGCTGATGATTATGATTACGCACATGATGATGCACATGATGATGAACATGATGAAGGTGGTGGTGGTGATGATGATGATGATGATGATGATGATGATGATGATGATGATGATGATGATAATGATGATGATGATGATGATGATGATGATGATGATGATGAAGATGATGATGATGATGATGATGATGATGCTGATGATGATGATGATGATGATGTATGATGAGATGATGATGATGATGATGATGATGAGAGAAGATGATGATGATGATGATGATGATGAGGAAGGAGGAGGAAGAGGGAGGAGGAAGGAGGAGGAGGAGGAGGGAGCAGGAGGAGGAGGGAGGAGGAGTAGAGGAGGAGGAGGGAGGAGGAGGATGAGGAGGAGGTCGAGGAGGAGGAGGAGGAGGAGGAGGAGGAGGAGGAGGAGGAGGAGGAGGAGGAGGAGGAGGAGGAAGGGGAAGCAGGGGAGCAGGTGGGGAGGGGCGAGCGGGACGACGAGGGCCAGGACCGGCAATATTAGGACACGGGGGGACGACGACGAGCAGGAGAGGGAGTGGATGAGAGCTACCCTTGCCGCGGGGTCTTCGACTCACCACGCCCTGGTCCCCAGGACCCGCGCCTCGTGAGGAGACGGAGTGACGGTGTCGGGTGGGGTGCGACTGGGGCGGCAGTTCCCTCGATCAAGGATTGGGCGGCCTGCAGTGTGGGCCACTGAAAGAGGTCGAGCAGGAGGAGCAGGCAGCAAGGGCGCCCTCGAGGGCGCGAAGTTGTTCGCGCTTCGCGCTTCGCGCTGCGGCTCCGCTTCCTCCTCGTCCTCCCCTTTCTCCCCTGGGAGGCGGCGCGAGAGCGCGAAGCTCTTCGCACTTCGCGCTCCGCGCAGCGCGTGGCGCGAAGTTGGGAGCCCCTGCAGAGTGGGCGGGAGCGCCCTGCAGCCCCTGCAGGCGGCCGTCGACTCGATGACCCGCTCCCTGGGCCGCGCGCTGGCGCCCCGCGTGCGCGTGCTGTCGGTGTCGCCCGGGTGGGCGCCCCAGACGGCGCCCAGGCCCGAGGAGGACGAGGATTGGCGGCGCCCAGAGGGCGAGGGGAGGGGAGGAGGAGGAGGAGAGGAGGAGAGGAGGGAGGAGGAGGAGGAGGAGGGAGGAGGAGGAGGGAGGAGGAGAGTAGGAGGAGGAGGGAGGAAGGAAGGAGGAGGAGGAGGAGGATGGCCCGAGGGGAGGGGGCCTCTGAGAAGGCGGCGCGTCTTGCAAGCACGCAGAAGGGGCTCTCCAGGAGCCCACCCGGCTTCCAAAAAGCCCTCCTCGAAGCTTCCGGGGCATGCCAGAAGGGCGTCTGCCTCTTCAGAGGCCCCGCTGCCTTATCAGAAGGACGCCTTTCTCGCGCCTCCACCCTGTGGGCGCCACCGAGAGGATGATCAGAGCAAACCGGGCTCACGTCACTGATGCTGCAGCACCCTCCCACACCCCCTCCTCCTCCTCCTCCTCCTCCTCCTCCTCCTCTCCTCCTCCTCCTCCTCCTCCTCCTCCTCCTCCTCCTCCTCCTCCTCCTCCTCCTCCTCCTCCTCCTCCTCCTCCTCCTCCCACCCCAACTACCCCTCGTAGCTCAGTACAGGTTGCTTTTCACTGCGGTGGCCGCCCGCTAGATTCGTGGTGGTGCTGGTGGTGTTGGCGAGCGCCTGCTTTGTTCGTCATAGTGGGTGGTCTTGGAAGGCTTGCCAACGTCAAGCCAACAATCGGCCGCGTGTTGCTTCAAGCACGGTGGGTATTTTCAGGGGATCGCCGTGCGTACTCTACCGCGCCGAGGCTGTTCTGTGTGGCGCCGGGGCAGAGACGTCCTCGGAGAGGAACCGCCCTACATTCGCGTAGCTCGTTGAATTGTTCAGCTGAAAGAGTTTATGGTGCAGCGCAGTCTCAGGCGACAGCACGGTGTTGGGAAAAAGGGACCGCCCTCTATCCGTGTACCAGTTGATTATTGATCGCTTCGCTCATTCCGCTGGCCCATCATGTCGCACCGTGGTCGCCTGTCCGAGTGGTCGTTTGCAGTGTGGAGCTGCGGCGTCGGGAGCTGTGTAGTGTTGGGGGCGTTCTTGGGGCCCTCTTGGGGCGTCCTGGAGGCCTCTGGGGCCGTCTTGGAGCCGTCTTGGGCCGTCTTGGGGCCCTCTTGGGGGCCTCTTGGGCCCTCTTGGGGCGATCTTGAAGGCCTCTTGAGCCGTTTAGGGGCGTCGAGGAACCGAAAAGGTTAAAACGCCCAAATCTGCCCAACACCAAAGGAAAAACACAGGTTTTTGCCTCTTGGGGCCCTCTTGGGAGTTCTCTTGGAGGCCTCTTGGGGCATCTTGGAGGCTTCTTGGGCCATCTTGGAGACGTCTTGGGCCGTCCGGAGGCCATCTTGGGCGTCGTGGAGCGATCTTCGGGCGTCTCGGACCTCTCTTGGACCGTGTTGGGGGCGTTCTTGGGGCCCTCTTGGGCCGTCTTGGAGGCCTC